CTCGCTCCCACCGGATTCTCTTGTATTAAGTGAGAAGAACTTCACGATCGGGAATTACAGTGACACCAGGGAAATCGCGACGACCATCGAGATTCCCAAGGAAGTCCAGCAAAATGGAACGCTTTGGGCGCATTTCTATGTTGCACTCACTGGACACCAACTCGACCCAACGGCTAAGGATTATAGCACAGATAGTGCTGTTCACTTCTTCCGCCCACTAAACCATTATCTTCCCAAGAAAAAGGTCAAGAAGCTCAAGAACTTGCTTGCCAGCTCGGACGATGCCGAGCAGGTGGAAGAAGACAACAGCATCCCGGACGTCTCTGTTGCCTCATACTACCACCCTAACTTCACGGTATCGCTGATTCCTGATTCCGGAGTTCAGAAATACCGCCAAGTACACCCTGCTATTCGGCATCATATGCAACTCGAGGCCACGGGCGCAAGAGATGCCTCTGGTCAGAATGGGTGGTACTACCCTATTGTGTTCTTGAATACTTTCTGGCAACTCCGAAGCCATATGACCGAGCTCAACTCTACCGTGAAGACGATGCCTTTGCGGATCACTCTGAACAACCTGTCCAACTGGAAGTTTAGCATGATGGCAAGTGTGGACGAGAATGCAAAGGCTAACGCCCGGCAAGCCGCATTTGGAGGCTCCGTGCCTGGGGGCGGCGATGGCTCTGAGTTTGAGATGGTCAAGGAAGTCCTCCTTGACACGAACATTTGGTTGCTTGGTACAACTGGTGTGGTTACGATTCTGCACATGATTTTTGAAACTTTGGCGTTCAAGAACGACATTGTAGGTTCCTCCTTTCGCTTGACCACAGTATGCAGTCGATCTAATGGCTCTACTCTAGTCTCACTGGCGCAAGAAGAAGGACGTTGTTGGGACCTCAGTCCGCACTATTTTGGCTAATGTGTTCATGCAAATGATCATCTTCCTCTACTTGATGGATAACAGTGAAAACACTTCCTGGATGATCCTCGCCAGTCAAGGTTTCGGTATCTTACTGGAGGCGTGGAAGATCACCAAGACAGTGAATGTGCGTCTGCGTTCACCACCAGCGGGGTCTTTCTACTCTTTCCTTCCTTACGTTGTGGTATTCGAGGATAAGCACAAGCTTTCGGAAACTGAGAAGAAGACCAAGGAGTATGATGAAATTGCATTCCGCTGGCTCTATATCATTGCTGTGCCTCTCCTCGGTGCATATGCAGCCTACAGCTTGATCTACAACACACACAAGTCGTGGTACTCCTACATTATTGAAACACTTGTCGGCAGCGTTTACGCATATGGTTTTTTGATGATGGTCCCCAGTCTCTATATCAACTACCGTCTGAAGGTTGGTGCCCCTTGATTCATACCCCTGTAATGAAGCTAATATTGTCAACAGTCTGTTGCTCATATGCCTGGCAAGGCCTTAACGTACAAATTCCTCAACACCTTCATCGATGACCTGTTCGCATTCACCGTCAAGATGCCATGGCTCCACCGGCTTGCCACTCTCCGAGATGATGTAATTTTCTTCGTCTGGCTCTACCAGAGCTATAAGTATAAGGTTGATTACAAGCGGGTCAATGAATTTGGACAAGGAGGCGACAGCGATGAGGAGACAGAGGAGCCGGCAGCAGCCGAATCCGAGAAGAGGTTGGAAGCGGTGTCTGAAGCATCTGGAAGGGACAGTGCTGAGAAGTCGACACGGAAGAGGAAGTAAGAATGACTTGCTTTAGAATGTCTTTCTTTTGTGTGATGCTGGAGGAAGCTATATACCGTAACTCCTGGATGAAACCTTAGATATTATTTGCCATCAGCAAAATCTACATTTTTCTTCGAGAGTTCTAACCTTCGTCAACGGTATCTTTTGATTCTTCAGACCCAATAACCATAGAATCCGCGTTCCTGAAGCGCAGTCTACCTATGTGGCCAAACAAATGAGACATAATTATTGTTTCTAGACTTCAAGGTCCAATGATTTTCAAATTGGGATCAGTAGGCCATCATATGGTTGATCGCCAGATTCGGTTTAAGCTCTCAATTCCCGCGGCCGATGGGAATGCACGATTGAGGATACCAGTCCCCAACCGTTGCATTGACCGGCAAGTGAATCACACTGATTCCCAAATCCAACTGTCCTTTTTCTGGCAAGAAAACCATTTGTGTCGGCGCAAGGACGTTCGCATAATATCGCATTGGCGCGCAAAGACGTCGACGGAACGCGAAGAAACCCCAACAAAACGTGAATCAGCGCAATACTGCCAACAAGAGAAAGGGAACGCGGCAGTATTTGAATTGAATCAAACCTTCATGTGAATTTCTACAACTGATGTCGTCCGATCTACAAAGTAGTATGTTACAGCCAGGTCCCTCAAATTGATGACCATCACTAACAATTCGTCAGGCCCTTCTGGCATAGAACCCAGGCCGAGTAGCCTGCCTGATGCACTGGAGCATCTAGAAGCAGGTCTGTTTGCCTGTTTTTATCGTACTTCAGTCGATTTTCGCAGGTTTCCTTGCTAATGCTTGATTGCAGTTGCTTTTGTACCCTCAAAGAAGCGATACACTGATGCCGGTCAACTGGCCAAAACAATCGCTTCGAACGCTTATGAAAGCGGCATCAGCACATCTGCACTTGAACGATTGATCCACGTTTTGACACGAAACAATTACCTTGATCAAGGAACAATTACTACCTTGATAAAGAATCTATTTCCGATAGACAGGATCTCTTCCAAGGTTATCACGCAGGTCGTGTGTTGCCTCGGTCCCAGCAAGAACAAGCCGAGTCCTGCTACACAGGCTTCCCTGCTGCGATGGCTCATCCTCGTCTACGAATTCTGCGAGGACAGATCGCACTTCACTAAACTTTATGCAGTGCTTTTCAATCACCTTGATATGATCAGTCTTCGCAAGCCGTTATGCCATTTACTTTCAATGATCACAAGGCGAAAGCACGTCAAGCCCTTTAGGATACAAGCTCTTATGGAACTGGTCAATACAGCCGGCGCAGAAGAAAAAGAACTCATTGGTTTACTTAACGTCTTCAAGAATTATTATCCAGACATCATCGTGGGTGACCTCGGGGCTTTGAGACGGAGAGGCTTGGTCTTCAAGCATCCCGACCCCGAGTGGACTAGTCACGCAAGGCTTCTTCAAGACAGAAATCTGGAGCAAGTACAAGCGGCCCAGTCATCAACCTTTCAAGTAGTTCATCGTGGAGCGGCGAAGAGAGGGAAAATGGAAGTGATCGTTCCTGTTCTCCAGACATCAAGAGTGTCATCCAACCGTACCTCTTTAGAAGAGCTGCGGAGCGTCGACCACTTGGTTGAAAAGCTCGACCGGATTGAGCTTCCAAATCAGATTATATCCGCAGTGGCAGACAACATAGCTCAGAAATATCTATCTCTGGCTCAACCGGAGTATGCGAGGCTCCGGTTAGATGATTGGCTGAGCAGCTTTTTTGACGAACGGTTGGAGCACGCTCAAGATGAAGAACTAGACACGTCAGAATCTCTAGGTTACATCTTGAGTCTCATCGTGAATTACGTGCGCTATACAAAGGTATGCCATCTTGGCCCCATGGATTTACACCTGTTGACTCGCAGTTTGTTACAGGATATTCCTGCGTCAGCCCATCTTTTTCTAAGACAATACCTTTCGTCTTGGAACGGCCGTGACAACAAAGAAGAGGTTCTCAGTCTTCTTGACTACCTCCCCATTCAGGACTTCGATACTTTACGAGCCAACTTTCTGACTCCTTTAGAGGCTGCCATACTGGCCAGCGGACCATTCTCCATGACAGTGATTCTTGACTTTTACTCTTCACTTATACGGCAATGGGGTGTGAAGCTGAGGGCGTCACCTTCAGTCTCTGCAGAATCAAAACCATTGGGTCGCCTAATCACGCATGCGGAACTGCTGGCATTGTCAATACTTGAGAGTCTTTCGGTGCAACCATCCAATACCGACGACACGGAACCTCACAAACCAGTCGCCCTATCTGTCCTCGAGTTCTACTGCGTTTTGGCCGACCTATTCTCTTATGCGTCCGTGAATGGCCAGATCCGTCTTACTATTCCTCTAGCTCCGACAGTTTACACTCTCGTTTTCACACCGATTCTCTCCAGCATCTCCATCATTAGCTCCGTTCTTGCCGGTTACAAAATGGCCTTCGAAACATCTCTGACTTCCGAAATTCTTCAGGTACCGAACTCCACAGATTCGCTGTATCCGACTGAGTTGGTGGGCCAATTCAACGGCTACGTCATGGACGTCTGCAATCTGCTTTGGCGAAATCGAGGGCTCAATGGCGACGATCCAAACGCCCTCGGCTGTCTCCTGCCAGCTGCAATGACGAGTGCACTCACACAATACACTCGGGAATTGAACGAGGCATCCCGAGACAGGAAGCGCGAGGCTTCGTTTTTCTTCAACCTATCTTCCATTTTCTCTCTCAGTTATCACGTGGCCCTCTGCAACATGTCAGCCGGCTGCTTCGCTGACATGGAGGAAGAAAACAACATAGCCGAGGGCAAGCCCAGATTGAGGAAACCCGTGACCCAGAAGGCACTGAGTGCACTTGAGAAAGACGGTGGTCTCAAGTTGACTTGGCAGGAGTACAGGGTGCGTATGCTTGACTGGCTAGACGCCACAGGCAGCCGCGGAATTGGGAACTTGATGCGCAGCACGATGAAAGCTTTACGCAAGGAATGACTTCGATATTGGCCGATGTTGAGAACACTTGGAAGCCTTAGTTGGATTCCAGATATTCTGCCGAGAGGTATTGAACTTTGCTTTGATATTACCCTAGAGCGGTCGATCATCATCAAGGCGGCGCAGATTGACGATCCAGGGTTTACTATTTATATGATAGTAATTTTATATTAGGAGAATCTGTTACTCGAACGTCATGATAAGTTCTATGTCCATGGCTGCCAGGGTATTTGAGAGGCTCGTTCGCTATATATATATATATGACAGGTCCCTGTGTTGATGGTCATCAAAATTGCGTAGATGTGTTCAGGTAAATATCTTGAACACTAGAATCCTCTCGAAGAGTACTCAGGATGTCCTCAATTTCCTTGACTTGCTCGTCCTCCAACTCCACCATAGTTTCCTTGTTCGGATCCCAGATTATGTCAAGTTCCTTGATGGCGAGTCCGGTCACTTTTGTGAGCGCTTCGCCCACGCTCTTCGTTTCTGTTGGTTCTGTAAAGACCATAAGTCGGCCTTCATCATCCGTCGCTACATCAATCGCTCCTGCCTCGATGACCTGGTCTAAATAATCATCCGTATTCACGCTGTCCCTCTTCTCAAATATGATCCTGCCCTTCTTCTCGAAAAGATATGTCGTCGGAGTAACAGTACCGCCGGTATCCTTAATAGCATACCGGAGGTCTTGTAATACGCGAGCTTTTTGATCGGTCTGGCACTCGATAACCGCCGCAACAGAATGGGGTAGAATGGCTTCAATCGTTACCGACTCAAGGGCCTCGCCGGTTACACTTATTCCCTGGCCTCTGGCAATAGCAGCTTCAATCACAGTCTTCGGTATCCCGGCGCGTTTCGCATTAGAGAGGGCAAGAGTTAGTCTGGGGTTGAACTTGGGATCAGCACCCCACACTGCAAAAACATTAGTATGCATTGGCCATCGGCGAACTCGGTGTCAAGCACGCACTCTGCGTAGCACTGCTAATTTCCTTTGCGATTGTTTGACGCTCTCTGCTTTTTGCCTTGTCATTCTTCGCCTTGTCATGCTTGATCTGTGACCATCGATTGTGACCGGCGAACAACGGGGCGCCGCTGGAGAAACTCCGACAAATCTCGCATACCGATTGCCCCGTCCGGCGACGTTGCTGTAATAACAATCGTTGATTCACTATCGACGCCATGGAGAACCAGACCGCGTCACTTCTCTGCAAATGCAGGATCATATAAAACTTGCTGTTCAGGAACAGCGGAAGTATACATGCGGAGTCGGACCGACATTCTTCCGATGGCCAGTGATAGGGCCAACTGCCTGATTAAGGGGACACCGACGCAATCAATTGGGGACATAGCTGGGGCTGGTTCAGTCATATACTAATTTCCAATCTTGACTTCCTTTGTTTTTACTTGATATATGATTAATGGGTAATACCTGACAGAGCCAGTCGGATTCAATGTCTTCTTCTGAAAACGCAACAACAGCTACTCCTTCCGACAATGCGGCCCCTCGTGCGGAGCTGGACATCACAAAGCTCCATGCGCTTCCCTCCGAACAGCAGGGCCTCTACCTTCTCACCTTCACTTCGGACTTGATACAATATATCTCGGACCTAGATTCGGCGAGCGTATCGTCGCAACAGAAGTTCTTGAAGAAGGAACTATTCAAGATCTTGGCTCTCTCGTCGCCAACGATCACTCGTGTTATCCGCAACAACCTAGGCCGATCTTTTGGCGCTATACTTGGCAAAGGGGATCGGGGGATACTCTTTGAAACAGTAACCGACCTTCTTGGTATACTGAATGCAGGCAAAAATGAGGCGGAGCTCAAGACGAAGTTCGCCGCGGCTCACTGTTTGGGGGAGGTCTTCGCGGTCGCCGGAGAGAGTGTATTTGCGCAATCAGGAATTGTGGTATCGAGCTTGCTCAAACTGCTGAAGTCTTCCAGCAACCATACCGGACTTCGGGGATCAACTTTTGCGATCTTGCGCAAGGTTGTGGTGGGTGCTGGAGTTCCCGTTGACGAAGCAACAGCGCGGGATATCTGGAAACAGGCTCGCAATGCCGCAACCAGTGACAAGTCCACTTTTGTCCAGGTCCACGCATGCCGCTGTCTCGAGCAGTTGGTGAAAACAACACCTTTCTTTGATAATGCGAATGACTTTGATCATTTGAAGACTCTGATCTGGAAAGTCATTGACAGCAATGTGGCGCCCGTCAGACACGCTGCTGCGGCTTGTCTGGCGCAAGCGTTGGTGAAACTGCACGCCTCAGATGCACGAGTCACAGCCATTCCCAAGCCTAAGAAGATGAAGAGACAGTCTAAGAAGCCCGCGCCTAGACCCGGAGAGGACGAAGATGAGGCTGAAGTTTCCGAGTCCTCGGTTTCCAAAAAGGCAGAGCCTGGTTTATACTTCCTCCTGCCGGATCTTCTTCGCCAACTTTCCACTCAGTATATGAAAAGTACAACTTCCAATCGCGCACGAGCCGGTATTGCTGCGTGTTACAAATATGTTCTGCGCAGCCTAGGCGACAAGCTTGTCGAAGAGCGCTACGGGCAGATTGCGAATCATCTCCTCTTTGAACTTCTGAACCATCCAACCGTTACATACAACCGATTCCGACTCCTAATGACACGGAGATTTGTTAAAGGAATTCTAGAGGAGACAGTTGGACGAGAAACTCTGCGCGAGAATAGTCAGATCAATGCCGCTAAGTGGTTAATCAACGAAATTCTTAAGGACTATCCTCAGGTTCTCCAGGAGCGCCCCGAACCCAGCAAATACACACTTGCCAGTGCTCTTAGTGCATTGTCTTCGTTGATATTGTCACTGGGTTCTGCATTCGCCTCTCTGGCAGAAGCTTGTCGCGAGGCATTGCTTCAAGTTCTCCCTCATCCCAGCTACACCGTTCAAATCCACGCCGCGCACTGCTTGAGGAACTTTGTTCTTGCTTGCCCGCATCAGCTCATATCCTGTGTTACCATCTGCTTGAACAGCCTGAGTAGAGAGATTGGACAACTTTCTACCCCCCGGCAGGCACCGCGCCGCTGTGTTGGATACGCCAACGGACTGTCGGCTATGTTGAGTACTTCTCGGCTGCAACCGCTCTACGGCTCTGTTGATGTCTTCTCCCGTGTGTTCACTCAGGCCACTGATCTACTGAAGACGAGCGGCAAATCAGAGCTACGGGCAGCGAGTACACAGGTGCAGGTGGCATGGATTTTGATCGGAGGTCTGATGCCCCTCGGACCAAGTTTCGTGAAAATTCATCTGTCCCAATTGATGTTACTTTGGAAAAATGCACTACCCAAGCATCTTGGCAAGGAAAATATTGCTCAGCGTGGGTATCTAGAGATGAGTTTCCTTGCACATGTACGGGAATGTGCTTTGGGTTCCTTGTTGGTATTCATGGAGTTCAACAGTAAATTGATCACAGCGGATGGTGCGAGAAGAATCGCTGCCATGCTACAAAACACGGTGGAATTTCTCGATGATCTTCCGCGGCAGAAGTCTGTTGCAGATCTTTCGCAACGCCTTCAACCTTCATTACAATTGCATGATCTGGAGACAATGGTCCGGCGACGGGTTCTGCAGTGCTTCTCTATGCTGATTGAGGTCCATCCTCTCAGCCACGCCGATGTCATTTCCCAGACTACTCTGTTGAATCTTTCCATCTCCTCCTTTGCCGATCCAGAATACACCCAACCTGCTCCGCTAGAAAGTACGATAGCTGCTGCAACCGCTCAGTTTGAGACTCTCTGGGATCTCTGCGATAATTTTGGATTTGGTGTCACGGGACTAGCAAGACAATATGTCCGTGTAACCCTCTCAGGCAAACAGGACAAAGACAATGGCCCTGCTTGGTCAGCTGTCGATTCAGCAGACCAAGATATCGACGACGCCGTGAGTATTTCATCCACCAGTAAGCACGCGCTTCGGAACTAATGATGGCAGTTGACTTTCCCTATCTGCCAAGCTAGTGAACATGATTCTCTTCTTTTGTACTCTTCGAGAAGTGAAAGAGACAGTGTTTTGGCTGACCCGCATGCTACCGGGGTCATCAATGCTGCGATTGAACTGTTCGCTGTTGCTATTCGCTTGTACGCCCCTAAGGTACAAGAAAGTACTATGGAACAGATTGCAACGTTCCTATCATCTCAGAGCCTTCAGCGCAATCCTGGCCGCAAGGCTGCGATGATCGTTAACATTGCGATAGCATTACTCCATGCGCTGAAGGCCACTGCCAAGGACAGTGGCTCAGTGCCCGGCAGGCTCAATCCTGTTACTGAGAAAGTACTGCAGGAGCTCTTGCAGGTGAGACATGCTGAGGAACTCCGTTCACCTCTTCTCTAGCTGACAATCATAGAAATTCGTCATTGACGCAGATCCAATTGTCCGAACAATTGGTGCTGAAGCACTTGGACGGCTCTGTGACAGTGCTGGAAACACCCTTATGACTACACAGGTCAATTGGTTGGTCGATACTATTGTCGATAACAGGGAGCCTAATGCACGTGCGGGCTGTGCTGCAGCCTTGGGATGTATTCACGCACAAGTAGGTGGTATGGCAGCTGGCCTGCACCTCAAGACGATTGTTGGCGTCTTAATGTCACTCTGCAATGATCCCCACCCTGTCGTCCATTTCTGGGCGCTTGGGGGCCTAGAGAGAGTAGCCAATTCCGCAGGCTTGACCTTTTCACCATTTGTTTCCAGCGCGCTTGGGATGCTTGCTCAGCTATACAACGCCGATACTCACAATGAAGAAGCCGCAAGCTTGGCAACATCCAACATCGAAATGACCTTCCTCACTCCGGTCGTAATAAGTCGTTGCGTCGATTCACTGATCAATGTCCTCGGCCCTGATCTTCAAGACATCACGAAAACACGAAACCTGATTCTGACGCTCCTGCGGCAATTTCAACTGGAGGACAATCCGGCTCTGGTCACTGAGAGCTCCAAGTGCTTAGATCACATGTCACTGTACGCACCGGGATTTGTGGACTTTTCGGGGTTTGTGAAGCGTCTCCAAAATGAATTGTGTGCAGGCAACCCTTTGATGAGGGATGTAGCCATTCGTGCACTGAGCAATCTCATGAAACGGGATGCTACTTCTGTCCTTCGAGCAGCGACGCCAAGTCTCGAAGAGCAGATCTGGCTTGCATATGATGATACGCCTGATAACCTGGTTCTGAAAAGTATGATTCTGGACTGGCTACAGCAGACCGCCCTTTCAGAGACCGAGCAATGGATTCAGCGTTGCCAGAATACGTTGACCAAAACCCGGCTGAAAGTGGAGGACATCCCGCCAACGTCTGCTGTTAAGACGGCTGTCAATGACATGCCAGACGACGAGGTTGCAGGTTTCGCATCTGCAATTGCTGGGGCAGGACAGTCGGAGACTGCAAACGAAACTGTTGCCGGACAGGAGCTGTTGAAATGGCAGACACGGAATTTCGTGATGAGTTGTCTGAGTCAGCTGTTGGCGACAGTCCAGGAGGCAATTTTGCCTGATCAAACAATTCCTGCCGAACTTGCCCTCCAGCACAAGGTTGGAGATATTGTCCGGATGGCATTCTCAGCGTCCACTGCAAATGTCATAGAGCTGAGAGTCTGGGGGCTGAAAATCATCGATCAAGTTCTCAAGGTAACTGGCTCTCGTTCTTCATTCAACAGGGTGATGATATGACTGACCCATAACAGATGTTCGGCAAAACTCCTGATCCAGACTTTGCAGAGGCGTCTCTCCTCGAGCAATACCAAGCCCAGATCGGATCGGCGCTTACGCCGGCTTTTGCTGCTGATTCATCTCCAGAATTGGCATCAGAGGCAATCAACGTTTCTGCGACTTTTATCGCAACTGGTATCGTGACAAATGTGGAACGGATGGGCAGGATCTTGAAAGTCCTGGTTCTCGGGCTGGAAAACTTCTCCAGTAAGTGCGCAGTTGAAGAGTTCTGAGGAAAAAAGAAAATGCTAAATTTCTCCAGAAAATCCTAACACGACGGAGTTTGGAGATCTCAAAGGTCTCAATTCCAACGCTAAAGTCATGGTCAAGATGGCTCTGTTCGCCGCTTGGGCACGGCTACAGATCGCAAGCATCGACCAGGATTATCTGAACGAGGTCGTTCAACCTTATCTCGCGACGCTCACCCCACTGTGGCTCTCTTCTCTCCAAGAATATGCTC